ATTCCTTCTTTGAGTTTCTAGACACTCTAAATGACTGTGCTATGGAGCAGATGGACATGGAACCTACCAGGGGAGAGGCGATCCTTGATTTGGTCCTAAGTAACACTCAAGACCTGGTGAGAGGTGTAAAATTGATTGCACTGCTTGGGAACAGTGATCATAATGTTATTAAGTTCAACATTTGTATAAATAGGAAATTGGCCAAAAAGACTGACACAACCACTTTTAACTTTAAAAGGGGTAACTTCTCTGATATGAGGGGACATGTGGGGAGGAAACTGAAAGGAAAAGTAGAAAGGGTCAAAACCATTGGGGAAGCTTGGAGACTATTTAAAACTACGATCCTAGAAGCTCAGAAAAAATATATTCCGCAGGTTAGGAAAGGCACAAATAGGTATAGAAAAAAACCTGCATGGTTAACAAACAAAGTAATGGAAGCTGTAAAAGGTAAAAAGGATTCCTTTAAGCAGTGGAAAACTAGTCAGAGGCTCTGATCACACCACCGAGGAACTGCGGGCGGGAAGCAAGGCTGTTTGCCCCGGGGTGAACTGATGCATGATCAGACTTCCGCCTGCCCGCATCACAGTCCTGCATAATACTTACCTTACCTTTTCCACTCCGGGACGTCTGTGGTCAGGCAGGCAAAAATGGAGTATGAGGAGCATATAGCAAAAAATGTATAGACCAACAATAAAACTGTCTTCAAATACATTAGAAGCAGGAAACCAGCCAGGGAGGCAGTGGGGCCCTTGGATGAACAAGGGGTAAAAGGAGTACTGAAGGATGATAAGGAAATGGCTGAGAAGCTAAATGCATTTTTTGCCTCTGTCTTCACTGTGGAAGATGAGAAGTGCTTGCTCACTCCAGAACTGCTGATTTCGGGAGGGGTGTTGAAAGACCTGAGTCAGATTGAGGTGACGAGAGAGGAGGTCCTACAACTGATAGACAACTTAAAAACTGATGAATCACCAGGCCCGGATGGCATACATCCGAGAGTTATGAAAGAACTCAAATGTGAACTTGTGGATCTCCTTACAAAAATATGGAATCTTTCATTAAAATCTGCCTCCATTCCTGAGGACTGTAAGGTAGCTAATGTCAGTCCCATCTTTAAAAAGGGTTCCAGAGGAGATCCAGGAAATTACAGGCCAGTCAGTCTGATGTCGATACCGGGTAAATTGGTGGAAACCATTATTAAGGAAAGAATTAGTAGGCACATGGATGAACAAAACCTTTTTTTTTTTTTGTAACAAAATTTTTATTCAGGATATAATCAAAGTCAACATTAGTTTTACATTTATAACCATCACATCCTACCCACCTCCCTTCCCCCTCCCCACATGGCTTCTCACAGTGCTACGACCTCCTGTATATTGCTTAACCTTTTCTCCTCCATCCATTTCCTTATGGATGAGCAAAACCTATTGAGGCAGACTCAGCATGGGTTCTGTAAGGGAAGATCTTGTCTCATTAACCTGTTAGTGTTCTTTGAGGGGGTGAACAAACATGTGGACAAGGGGGATCCAATAGATATTATTTACCTTGACTTCCAGAAAGCTTTTGATAAAGTTCCTCATCAAAGGCTCCTAAGTAAGCTCAAAAATCATGGGATAGAAGGACAAGTCCTTTTATGGATCAAAAACTGGCTAGTTCATAGAAAACAGAGAGTGAGTGTAGGTGGGCAATTTTCTCAGTGGAGGGTGGTAAGCAGTGGGGTACCGCAGGGATCAGTACTTGGTCCACTGCTTTTTAACTTGTTCATTAATGATTTGGAGATGGGAGTAAGCAGTGAAGTGGCTAAATTTGCGGATGATACAAAGTTGTTCAGGGTGGTGAAAACCAGTGAGGATTGTGAGGCACTCCAAAGGGATCTGTCAAAGTTGGGCGAGTGGGCGTCAACATGGCAAATGGGGTTCAATGTGGCCAAGTGCAAGGTGATGCACATTGGAGCCAAAAATCCTAAATATAAATACACGTTGATGGGGTCTGAACTGGCAGAGACTGATCAAGAGAGAGATCTTGGAGTTGTAGTAGATAACTCACTGAAGATGTCGAGACAGTGTGTGACTGCAATAAAGAAGGCCAATGCTATGCTGGGGATTATTAGGAAGGGTATTGTAAACAGATCAGCCAATATCATAATGCCGCTATATAAATCAATGGTGCGACCTCATCTGGAATACTGTGTGCAATTCTGGTCACCACACCTTAAAAAGAATATTACAGCTTTGAAAAAAGTGCAGAAAAGGGCAACTCGAATGATAAAAGGGTTGGAACAGTTTCCCTATGAAGAAAGGTTAAAGCGCTTAGGGCTCTTTAGCTTGGAGAAACAATGACTGAGGGGTGACATGATTGAGGTTTATAAGATTATGCATGGGATAGAGCTGGTAGAGAAAGACGTACTTTTCTCCCTTTCTCACAATACAAGAACTTGTAGGCACTCAATGAAATTGCTGAGCGGTCAGGTTAGAACGGATAAAAGGAAGTACTTCTTCACCCAAAAAGTGATTCACACATGGAATTCACTGCCACAGGAAGTGGTGGTGGCTACAAGCATGGATGGCTTCAAAAGGGAGTTAGATAAGCATATGGAGCAGAGGTCCATCAGTGGCTATTAGCCACAAGGTATAGATAGGGACTCTGGGGCAAGTGATGCTCTCTCTTCTTGGTGCTGGGGGGGGGGTCAACAGTGGGAGGGCTTCTAATGTCCTGGCCCCACTGGTGGACCTCCCTTTTTGGCCACTGAGTGACACAGAGTGTTGGACTGGATGGGCCACTGGCCTGATCCAACATGACTTCTGTTGTGTTCTTATGTCTGGGACAGTGGTGGTCTGTATTCTTGATGCTTGGGGGGGCAAGAGTGGGAGGGCTTCTGGCCCTGCTGGTGGACCTCCTGATGGCACCTGGATTTTGGCCACTGTGTGACACAGAGTGTTGGACTGGATGGGCCAGTGGCCTGATCCAACATTGGCGTCTCTTATGTTCTACGTTCATTTTTTTGTCTGAATGGGGCTTCTGACTTGCTGATGGAGCATACATGTAGGTCAGTGGGTTGTGCGTAATATTGCTAAAGAGTACATTTTTAGAAACTCGTGTGTTCTTGTTTTTACTTGTCATTTTCCACCTTGAAAACTTTGTGCCAGTTTATCTGTGTTCAACCCCCAATGCAAAGTTCTGCAGAGGTATGAATAATATACAGCCATGTATTGAGGAAGGGGATGGTGTGCTCCATTCTGTGGGCAAATAATTCTTCTTCATCTGCTTTCAACGTGGACAGCCAACAACATAAAGTGCAACGAAAAAGGATTTAAAAAAAAATCTGTGGTGGAATATGAACACATAATTTTGGGGACAAGTTATGAGTTTTATCACAAAATAGCTATCCCTTCCAAGATTGATTATTTGAAAACAAAATTTGTTGTGAGGCAAATCTAGATTTTTAGTTGGCTAAAGGGATGATCAGTCAGAGGGAGGGGTATTAGTAATACTGTTCATTTTGACTTGTTATCATCCAATAAAACTTTATAACTATAGTTCTACAGGAAAGATAGCCTCCAGGTAACATTCTACCCAAGGTAGTAAGTAAGTTATACTGAGGAAAGATAACTTTTTACTAAGGATATGATTACACGGACAGTTTTATTAAATTTATCTCTCGCCTTCTAACCTGAGAAGCCCTTGGGATAACCCAGTTGCTCTTTAAGCTGAAGACCTAAAGCAGTTTTTATTGCCATTTCTGTTCACAAAAGCAAAGAAAGTAGGGTTTATGTTTCTTGCTGTCCATTTTTTAATGTATGCTCTCCTATACATGTGAATTTTGTCAAAATGATATGTTTACTTTTGAATAAATCCCAGGGGTGTTTCTGATTTGATGCCTCTTTGGCTGTGGTCAGATGACAGGCTTGGCATGGTCTGGCTGTGCCTCTAATTTCTTCAGAACTATTTGTTTCAGAGAGTTTTTAGCAGACACGCCACCCTAATCCCACCTCACCCTGTGGTCGCCCAATCAGACTACTGTTGCATGGTCACCACGGAGCGGGTGGGCAGCTTATTCTTTTTTTTTTTTAAAAAAAGTCTACTTTGGGCATGTGCAGAACCGCTTATTCGCTAGGGGCAAATATGCAGTTTTGTGCATATTGTTGTGAAAAAAAGTGGTAGTCAAGGAGCGGAAGCTGCAGACTTCCCAAACAGCTTGAATATGCAATGGAGAGATATGCATAGTGAGAACAATTCGATCCATAAACACCAGATGTTCTCTGGTGTCAGGAAAGTTGGGGGTGAGGACGGGGGCCAACAATTGGGGAACAGAAGAAAGATTTCGCTGTCTGGACATGCACATTCAATCCAGTAGGGAGAAGGGACAACATGAGAGCCGACAGCCTGCCTGATTGCACCCTTTGAATGTTATTATCCACATTCATGGAAAACAATTGTTGCAGAAAGGGCAGACTTTGGAATGAGACACTGTAAATAAATCCTGACAATCCTTTCTTGTTGAAGGCCCACATGTCTTATAAATATTCCTATCAAGCTTGGAAGCTGCAGTCTGCAAACCCCTTGCTCAGCTAGCTTCCATTCATGACCTTGCCTGGGGTAACTGATGGAGAAAACTTCAGCCTTTGTGAAGGGCTGCTCATTTCCCTAACCCACTGCCACTGTATTTTGCAAACATCTTACCTTGTGGTGTGAACTGATATATTAATACACATTTTAAAAAAACCTTCAGTGCAATGTTCCCTATAAGCTGAGTTAGCTCACAGTTAATTAGCCTCCAGCTCACACATCTTTGCTTAGCTCAGGAAGGATGGCTCCAGAGCAAACTAATTTATGCATTTGCCAAATCGCTCGCTCACAACTTTAATACCAGTAGCTCACAAAATAGAATTATTGCTCACAAGACTCCACAGCTTAGAGGGAGCATTGCTTCAGTGGTTTTTTTTCAAAATTCCTTCTTGCTGACTTCATTTCTCATTGTTATAAATTATTCTAATTTGCTCTAGGGATTTAAGGACAACGTCTATCGGCAGAGAAGAAAATATTTTGTAGATATTGCCATGAACTATAAATAGTGAGTACCGACTCTTCCTGTGGAATTACTTACCTGGTCTGTTTATGGTTCTCTGTGTGAGTTTTGCAGCAGGCAGGTGGCAGCCTCAGAACAGTCAGGGCACATTGACACAGCCAAACTGGGAAAAGAAAAATGTGAGTTGAGCTTATTTGGACTTTAATTGTGCTTCTGGTGAAATAAAGGTAAAGGTTCCCTTGATTGAAAGCCAGTTGAATCCGACTCTAGGGGGCAGTACTCATCTCTGTTTCCAAGCCGAAGAACCAGCATTGTCCAAGGACATTTCCATGGTCATGTGGCCGGCATGACTAAACACCGAGGCCCACAGAACGCTGTTACCTTCCCACTGAAGTGGTACCTATTTATCTACTTACAATTTCATGCTTTTGAACTGCTAGGTTGGCAGGAGCTGGGACTGGAGATGGGAGCTCACTCTGTCACACAGCACTAGGGTCTTGAACTGCCAATCTACAGACGTTCTGGTTTGCAGCTCAGCATCTTAACTTCTGAGCCACCATGGCCCCTTCTGGTAAAATAAAGTAAAGGTAAAGGTTCTCTTGCTTGAAAGCCAGTCAAAGCCGTCTCTAGGGTTGCGGTGCTCATCTCCGTTTCAAAGCCGAAGAGCCAGCGCTGTCCGAAGACTAAACACCAAGGTGCACAGAACGCTGTTACCTTCCCACTGAAGTGGTACCTATTTATCTACTTGCAATTTCTTGCTTTCGAACTGCTAGGTTGGCAGGAGCTGGAACGAGAGATGGGAGCTCACTCCGTTATGTGGCACCCGGGTCTCGAACTGCTGAACTACCGACCTTCCACAGCCTGCAGGTCAGCGTCTTAACCACTTGAGCCACCGCAGCTTCCCAAAGGCTCCTAAGAAACTGCTGAACTACCAACCTTCCACAGCTTGCAGTTCAGCGTCTTAACCACTTGAGCCACCGCAGCTCCTTCTCTGGTGAAATAAAAAGGTAAAGGTTCCCTTGCTCGAAAGCCAGTCAAATCCGACTCTAGGGTTGCGATGCTCATCTCCGTTTCAAAGCCGAAGAGCCAGCGCTGTCCAAAGATGTTTCAGTGGTCATGTGGCCGGCATGACTAAACACCAAGGCTCATCTCCATTTCAAAGCCGAAGAGCCAGCGCTGTCCGAAGACATTTCCGTGGTCATGTGGCCGGCATGACTAAACACCAAGGCGCACGGAACACTGTTACCGTCCCACTGAAGTGGTACCTATTTATCTACTTGCAATTTTTTGCTTTCTAACTGCTAGGTTGGCAGGACCTGGAACTAGAGACGAGAGCTCACTCCGTCATGCGGCACACTCGGGTCTCGAACTGCTGAACTACCGACCTTCCACAGCCTGCAGTTCAGTGTCTTAACCACTTGAGCTACCACAGCTCCGCAACAGATAAATACACATTGACAATACATAGCTCCGGTCATTTCTGATCCATGTGTGGTGATTTGGTGCACGTGGATTAAACTCTGAGTTTTGCAAAGTGCAAAGCAATGAAGATTCTGCTTTGTCACAAACACATTTCCAGACCAAATTCATATGGTCAATGAAAATACTTATACACATTCACCCCTTACCCTTAACAAACCAGGTGGCTGCAGCTGCCACCAGTCTGGGCACATGTCTACAAATACATTTTTGTGATAATGTGCAGGAAACTTGGTGGAAAGTTGCAATAAGTGGTGGCACAAAATCAGCCTGTCCAAGAAGTAGTCAATGATGCAGGACTTTCAAGAAGCTGCCATGGGCTAAACGGTTGTGTGGACTGACCACTCTTGTAAACCCATCGTCTTTCTGTAGCGATGGCCTGTAGGGTATCAGCTGAATGAACTATGATACATATTTTAGCAGTGGTCTTGGGTTTTCTGTTAAGACATAAGTTTTTCAAAGAGAAATTAAGGAAACATATTAAACATATTGCCATTCTAATAAAATTCAGCATCACTTTATTCAACATTTGAAAAACAATCTGCGAAAGGTGGTTGAAACAAACCTGAGATTTTCGTTCATTTTAGTAGCTGTACATAGTCTTTTACTAAATCATTAAATATAGAGTTAGTTGAAATCCTGAGGTAGAAGGATATGTCCTTTCCCAGCCAGTTTTCATCTCCTATTGCTTTTAGTGGAAGCCTGTCAAGTTTGAACAGATTCATGCTCTGAGTCTCTGACCCACTGGTTTTTGCAACATATTACTTTGCATATTGTGGCTTTTTTATTGCTCCTGGGGGAAGAACCCACAATTTCAAAGAAAAAGAGTATGAATGCCATTTCAGCTTGCATGGACGACAGCTGAGCAGAAGAGTCTCGGTTGTTGAAACTGTGGTTGCCAACTCTATCTAGTCTGATGGGGGAAGATATAAGAAGGGGACATAGGCAAACGGTTTTGCAACTTCCTCAGTACCAACCTTGAAGAAGATTAAGAGTTTGCATGGGGGTTAACATTCATAGCAAACTCATGCTAGGCTAGACTATATATCTTCCTACCCAGAGTGTATCATAATGTTTGCAAACAGGACATGACTAGTCAAACCAGACTCTGTAATTATGGACAAAATTGCAGCTTGTTCTCATGGCCAGTGCAGTACAGACAGAGGTGGCTTCCCATGCATACGGGGAAAGCATTGAACTCATCAGTTAGTGTAGCTCCTTGGGTTGGTTTGTTTTTTCTTTTTATCTGCACAACCTCTCTCTTTCCCCTTCTTGTTCTATGTCATTTCTGCCTTGGAGATTCCAGCATGCCCTCATTAGTCCTCCTAGCATTTCTCTGACCAATTTAGTGACTTGCTCTGCAGCTAATAGTATACATTCCTTCATTTGCAAATGCAACACTTACAGACTTTCTTTTTAAAGTATTGGCTTTGCAGATCAAGCCCACATTTTGACTTCATTATCATCCCCAGGAGTTAGTAAGTTTCCTGCACAACCTCCAAATACCTGCTGTTTTGCAATTTTCTTGTCACACAAGCTTCCAAGCCAAGCTAATTCCACTCACATTCTCTCTTTATTTGTAACGGGCCAAACGCTTCACCCTCTGAAAAAGGCACATAGTAATTTTACGTGCTTTCCAATTTTAGGTCCTCCCTCCCCCGTTTGCAGTTTCTACCTACTTTGATGTCTCCCCCCCAGCACAAAAGGGGGGGGGGAGACGCATTTCTTTTCGACAACAGAAGGGAAATCTTGGCAGGAAAAGAATACTCTTAAAAACCCATTAAAAGTCTTTATGTTGTGTGTGTCTGTGTGTGTATATAATAATAAAAAACTAATAAAGACACAGCCCAAGAAGAGGAAGGCAGTTTGTGTTCCATGAGCAGAAGCAGTTCCTTTTCTCGCTCCCCCTCTCTCTAGATCACCACTGTTCTGTTAACTTCTTTTATGGCTGTGGATCTCGCATATGCAGAAGGCAAGCTCCTTTTGCATATCTGTCCTCAGCTTAGGTGGTAGGCAAGTTTGAAACTGGCCTGAACATTTTTTTCCTGCTATCCCTCTGTGACATTTGTTTAAACTCAGTTTAAGAAAATGGGAGATGTTAAATGTGCATACAGTTCAGTGTCATCAACACAAGCAAATGAGCAAGGACTCCCTCAGTTGCTGCACAGAGAAGCCTATCTCGGACTGGTATCATTGGTTAGATTCTCTCTTTTGGTCCCCCCAAAGTGTGAGAACAGCTTTGGTATTAAAACCACTTCCTGCCTCTATAGAGCCGGTGACAGCATACATATTATAAACTGCTATTAATTTTCAATTGGATTAATATATATTGATAACAATGTTAAGTGCATAATGTAGTTTTGCTAAAGGGCATGCCTATTCTTAAGCGTATTTTCAATAGTATCAGATGTTGCATCAAGGAACTTTGAAACATATCCTGGAGAAGGAAGAAGACTTGAAAATGAGACAAGAGGAAGGAAAGCTCTGTTGGGAATCACAAAACAGGCGCTAGGACACCCAAGACTTTCCTGTCAACCTGTTGAGCTTTATGATAGCCACCACAGTCTCAACAGTTCTGCAGGATTCATTGCTTTACAGATGGTCAGCTGATGCTGAGCGTCAAGGCCATCCAAGGATCTGAAAGAGCTAAGCAGGCATTTGGACTGCAAGAAGAACAAATCAGTCAATCCTCAAAGAAATCAACCCTGACTGTTCCCTGGAAGGCCAGATAATGAAACTGAAGCTCAAATACTTTGGCCACCAAATGAGAAGGGAGCACTCACTGGAAAAGACCCTGATGCTGGGAAAGATTGAAAGTCAAAGAAGACAGGGACGGCAAAGTATGAGATGGTTAGACAGTGTCATCGATGCAACGAACATGAAGTTGAGCCAACTTCAGAGGACGGCGGAAGACCGGAAGGCCTGGCGAGAGTTCGTCCATGGGGTCGCGAAGAGTCGGACTCGACTGTGCGACTGAACAACAACAACAAAATCCCAGATCACAGTCTAGTATTCTATTCACCATATCATGATGAATATGTTATTTCCAGCTGTGCCGAACTGGAAAGAGAAACATAGACCAAAGGTTATCCAACGAAAGCATGAAAAATAGCCGAGTTAGCTGTGACCAAAGAACACACAAACGTGGAGAGACATTCCCGTGGAGCAGCCATGTCAGTCTGTCACAGCACAAATAAGTCTTGAGGCCCATTAAAGACTAACAGATTTATTGAAGTGTAAGCTTTTGTGGGCTGTTCATCAGATACAAGTGGGGGAAAACAACATTCCTAGAGGTTATCACTTCTAGCTTATATGAGGTAAGAGGTAAAATACTTATGCTAACCACTAACCTCTTATCCATTGTCAGCACAACTGCGCACACAGCAGAAGGGAGATAGCAGTATCTTTTGTGGTGCAATTAAAACAGCACGGGATAGGATATGTGTGCCCAGGGAGAACATCATGGGGCAGCTGTATAATAAAGAAATGGGGGCAGTAATACTATCACACTGAAGGAGCGAGCACCAAGGCAGAAAAAAATGGCCTTCCCATTGCTGCAGGAATGCACTTAAACACAATGCAAGCCCCAACACAACTTGACAGAATGTCATCACAGTGTTCTAGAATGTGCTTGCTGTAGAGGAGTACAAGGGTACTACAAGTCTTCATGGGCCCTCCCCTCTACACCACCCTCACAATTCCCAGACCCAATTCAAATATCATACAAAAGCAAATCACATGTCTTGCCTGGCCCAAGGGTGACCAAGGAACCCAGAATTCTGCCTCTCCAGTACCTCTGCTACTCTCACTCCTTCAAGTTGTTGTCATAACTTCTCAATGGCAGGAACTAGGATTGTTCAATAGCTCCCCTTGAATTAAGTAACTGAAAAGTGATGTTTAAAATGTGTAGTTTGTACCTTATGGGATATTTATTATTCTATGTATTATATTTATATCCTGATATGACTGCCCCGTCCACTTCCCTCCCTCAGAGGGATGATTTTCCCTCCCCTTTATTGATTGAGCCACCCTAGTAATGTGTTTTCTTCTTTTCTGAAATACTCTGGCTGTCCCACCCTGTCACGGTATAATATTTTGGCTGTTTGCTCAGCCCAGGAACCTGAGGGAAGGATTGGGATCCCCCTTTAATGGCACTTGAAACGTTTTTATATTCCAGATTAACAAAATATTTTATTCCATGTAGAGGAAAAAGGTCAGGTGAAACCAGGGGTAAAATTTTTGAGGTAACTCAATATAGATAACTCTGAGGTAAAATCAGGAAACACACAGACTTTAGTTCCTATGTTTCCGGCTAGTGAGAGTTTCCTAAACTTTTCGCAGTGATTTAAATTGTTATGTTGAGAGGCTTTTGTTCCAGTGTTTTCCAAATTCTCCAGCACACTTTCTTTGAGTATTCTCTTTTGGTACACTCTTTATACTCTTTCCAGTACCCAGACCTCTTCTCTTGAAACATCAGTACTTGTCTTGAGTTTTTAACTAACTCTTAAGGTCTCTGAAGGCAGTTTCTAACCACACCAGACCAGGGATCTCTATACTCTTCAAAGCTAACTCTCTGTTTGACTGGGTAGGAAAATTCTTCTCTTTCTAAAAGATCTATCCCCTTTCCTTTGCCTAACTTCCCATACTTCCTTGCCAACTTTCCCCCAGTTCTCCATCTTTGTTAAACTGTTCTCAGCTAAGGCTGAAATCCCAAAATCCATATACTGTAACCAAACCTAAACCTACAAAGTTTGGGTAACTGAATCATGTGTCCTTAAATCACATCCTAATTTTTTTTCTTTATGCCTTGGACAATACCAACCTATCTTTCAGAGCTGCTATTAGAATGGCCCAGGCTGCTAAGGGAAGAGGCTAGGAGGAACAAAATTTCAGGGGGCTTAGTCACTCTTGAGGACCCATAGAACTAGGCAAACCTTGTGATTTGTCTACAAAGATGTTTTGACTGGATCTTGATAGTGGGAGGGGGGCCTGCAGGGAATCTTTGACTAGGAGCCCTTGGCAGCCTTGACAATATTTCTGAAATGCTCTGGATGCTAAATACCAAAGAATACTTCTGTAACTTATTTGTACACAGTCAGTTTTTTGGTGATCATGCAGTGCAGGCACTCTGCAATGTCTGCTTATACAGCAAAACAGTACATGTGATCCTGTAATATTAAAGCTGTATGGGAAGTTAGGAGTGGGGAAGAATAGGTTCTTCTTAAACCTAAGTGCAGAAGCTCTTAAGGCATGTTTAATATTAGGAATAACAAAATCTTGTGTAAACTTAAAGACTAAGAAATTATTGTGGAAAAAGATTTTATGACAAAAACAAAATATTGTGCCATAATAAATTCTCCAGTGAAAGACCTTTAAAAGTGACTCCAACATGAAAGGGCTGAAATAGAGTCTGACATAATCTTTCCCCACACCCTATCAAGGGCTGAATAAGGATTTAGGACTCCTTAGGTGTCATAAGTCTTATTCAAACCTGTTATCTAGCATTGCAAAGCTAGAGAAAGAGACAATTACCACTATCATGAATGGTCTCTGTACTTCCTTGATTACATTTGAATTTTGCATAATGCTCCCTGACCCTGCCATTTGTTTTATTCATATCTTAAATATAAATATTTGTGTAGTGAGAGCATACTCTATTGCATCTGATCAAGTGGGCTCTAGTTGATGGAAGTTTATACTAGAAGTCTTGTCAGTCTTTAAGGTGCCATGAGCCTCCTGTTTATTTTTGCTGGTACAGACTAACACAGCTACTCCTCTTTTGCTGTTGTGGCTGCAGTATACCAATTTAGTTAATCTTCTGGAATCACTTTTGAGTGCTGTAAAACAAAGAAGTGATAGAAACAGAGGTGCTTATTTTAAAAATGGTTGTGTGTTTGTCCTTTCTTTTCTCAGTGGCCAGGCAATCCCTAGAGTGGAGTATACTCCTGAAGAAATAAAAACTTGGGGTACTGTGTTCAGAGAACTTGCTAAACTGTATCCTACTCATGCTTGTCGAGAGTATTTAAAGAATTTTCCTTTGCTGACCAAATACTGTGGCTATAGAGAGGATAATGTCCCTCAACTGGAAGATGTTTCAATGTTTCTGAAAGGTAAGGGTCACTCTTGTCATTTAGCTAAGTGAAGGGCTCAAACTGGGCTCTGATTCAGACTTCACCTTCATTAATTAGATTATGTCTATTGAATTGGGTGAAATTTAGGTCAAGCTGTAGCACTATAACTCTGATGCTATTGTCACTGGTTTTAGGACTGTTTATAAATCCTGAGTACTTTTTTGGTTTGAATGTCCAGAATATTTCATATTTTTGTACAAGACCTTAAGCAAGAAGTTTGGAATATATAATATGAATGGCATATAAAAACATGATTCTCCCTGTGCTAGGGAAACATAGTCAGAGCTCCTTTCACACACTACCAAGTCTTGATTTATACATGCCTCTGTGTCTTGGTTCATACACGCACTGAGGGCCAGAGCTGACATGGGCTGTGATCAGACATGCAGTTTGATCCGGTGTGGCTCCACCTCTAGTTGATCCAGGGTTTCTTTTGTAACCGAGAATTGTGATCAGACTCACCCCCTTAACACTCTTCAAAGAGCTGTCACCCCATCCTTGAGCGATCAGATGCAGCAGCCAGGGAGTGAGCCATCAACCATTTTTTTTAGTTTGTCCTTTGAGCATGCATACAAGTGTTGATGAGTCTGCTGGGATATATAGTTCAAGGGGCTGTGGGACATTATTTTAGTTTGTCCTTTAAGCATGCACAAAAGGACTGATGAGCCTGTTGGGATATGTGGTTCACTGACGTCCTCCCTCTCTAAGCTTTTCAATTAATCCCTTCCCTGAAGCACAAAAAACCCCCCTGAAATACAGAGGAATCTTTCTTTGAAAGTTTTTATAAAGAAAACACAGTTTTGAGAAGCCCCTGTGGGAGAGGGAGAGAGGTGCAAATATGCAGTTATGTGCACATTGTTAATAAAACAATGGTGGCTGGAAAACAAGAGACCAATCAGACCTGCCTGATGGCTTGGGTGTGCAACAGAGTGATCAGACAACAGAAAATCTGGTTTGAAACCAGCTCAGCCCCAAAAGATTGGACTTTCACAGGTATCAAAGAAACACACAGTAAAGGGGGGGGGGAGACAGGATGCAGACCACTGGGTCATGGCAGACAGATGTTGCTGTCTGATTGTGCATTTTAAATCCAGAAGGGAACAGCAACAGATCAAACTGCACGTCTGATCACAGCCTTAGTATGATGGATGAGTGATGTGAGCCTATTCCCTTCCCTATGTTGGCAATCTCCTGTGTGAGCTGAGCCTCTGAGCTTGGCTGAAATACCCATTCAGGTAACTTATCCCCCTTAAAATGGGAGCTAAATAATAAACAGGACTGCTATTAAATGAGGTGTTTCTATGGAGGCCTGAATAATTTTCATCATTGATGGGAAAACTGATGAGCTAGTTTCATCACCCAAGCAACCCAAATGGTTACCTGGGGTGACCTAATGAAAAGAGGGCAAAATGCTACTTGGTCCCAGCCAGTGTGAAGAAGAGGTGATGGGTCTTGCTTCAGAAACCTGACCCAGTTGGGGTCAGGTGAGCAGCAGCTTTCAACCAACATTCCCCGGTGTATAACTGAGGTAGAGGTTTGCTTACCTTTGCACTGAGCATGCAAGGAACCTTGGAGTCAAAATGCTCCAATCAGTTTGCTCCAAGCTGAGAATGTTGTCTGTGTCCCATTTTGTCACTTGACTTCTGAGAAGTTGGGGAGGGACTTACCTGTTCCTTTTTAGTCCTCCCAAATGGCTGGCCTTGCCTGCCTCTCAGCTGAGGGCCAGGTGGAGAGGGTGCCAACCAATGCTCCCTCTAACCTGTGGAGTCCTGTGAGCAAAAATTCTACTTTGTGAGCAACTGGCATTAAAGTTGGGAGTGAGCGATTTGGCTGCTGCATAAGTGAGCTTGCTCTGGAGCCACCCTTCCCGAGCTAAGAGGAAAATGTGTGAGCCAAAGGCTAAAGAACTGTGAGCTAGCTCACACTAACTCAGCTTAGAGGGAACACTGGTGCCAACTTGTATTTTTATTCTGTGTAGGCAAAACAAAAGAGGTGCTGGAAATACACATGGAAATGTGAATGCCCTCCAGAGGGCAACATTACACTTCTCTGTCCCATAGCATTACTGAGCACTCTCAGATGGTACCCACCCCTTCCTTTTAGAGTCAATGGTCACCTTTTTGAGACATCATGTGGGTGTATTACAATTTCTAGTTAGGGTAAAAACCCTTCACTGAAGCTGCTCTCATCTCTGGGCTACAATTACTGTGGAATAACCCTGAAGAAAAGAAAATTCTAGCCCGAGATGACATGGCAGAAGCTGCTCCCCCTTACCCTGAATTCTCTTAGTTTAGATTTACTGGAGGGCTCCCACTTGTTCCATTGCCCTGTGTCCTGGAACTGCTCTTGGGCTTGTTGGCCACGAGCCATCTATTAGGGCTTCCTTTTGTAGTGATTCTGAAAGACTGTATTTCTAACTGTGGCGCAATGTTTAACTTAGGGGGGGGGGGAAATACTGTGTTTTTTCTCCTTCCCCTGCTGCAAGTGCAACAAAGTCACAGCAACATATACTCCCAAACACTCAAGGAAGATTTTCAATTGAAAACAAAATATAGTGTGTAGATTGAAAGGCTAACCTGCCCCAGCTCCCTGTGTCTTTCTTCCTTCTGCTTTCATGGCTGCCAGCACTTAATGTTAATTGGCTTGCTGCTCTTTGAGCCTGGTCATATCTTTCAAAGGGACCTCCTGCGCTGTTTTCTTGGTCCTGGAGGAATGGCGCAGAAGTAGGATTCCTTTTTTTCTTTGCTTGATGCTAGAAAAAGCACTTGAAGTTCAAAGGTGTTCTTGCAGACCAAAGACAACAGTAATAATTTTATTTGGGGGGGAAATAAAGGACTAAGTTTGGATCATTTTATAGTAAACAGTGACTAATGAGACAAGAAAGCTTGGGAAAGTACCAGCCTGTTCAAAGTCACTGAAAGTTTAAAGCAACTCTGTGGAGAGGCATTACTGATCAAAGGATACTTTCTTGAGTGCATTTAATAAAAGTCACGTCACCCAACTGGATGTAACATTTTACACATATATCCTTACAAGAGTGCCAGTGTAGTTAAGAGTGTTGGATTAGGATCTGGGAGACCTTCTGCCATGGAAGCTTGCTGGGTGACCTTTGGCCAGTTACACACCCTCAGTCTAATCTACCCCACAGGGTCTGTTGTGATGATCAAAATGCAGAAGGGGAGAATTTTGTAAGCCACTTTGGGTCCCCACTGAGAAGAATAAATAAAGTAGTACTTGTAAGTGCCACTGCTGCTGTTGAATGTGTACACACCATTTAAGAACTGAGGTGACAAGGGCTTCCTTCATTGCCTGCAAAGTCATCAATTGGCAACCCAGAGATTCCTTCTGTTTCCCCTCCCTTGCTATGCAATCTGAGGAAGGGTGGTGTTTGTGGGTGTGCTGCAACTACCTGGTGGTGGCATCCATTACATGTGCAAATTTTTGAATCTAGTTAGGCCCTTTAAATGTCACACATTTCTACAGAATGTTATTGAGAAACTTTTTATATACAAAAACTTTGTATAGAATTTCAAGACTGCAAACCACAGTTGGCTTTAAATTGTTTCCCAATATGTTGTCCTCAATATAGCATTTATTATGCATCCTTCTTCAAAGAAGGGCAGATTTTTCCAATTCACTTATAATTCCTTATTCTCTGTGAGGCAGATCAGCCTGAGAGAAGATAGCTGGCCCATTTATTTAAGTATTTATACTGTCCCCAAATGGACACAAAACAATATAAATAAACAATAACAAGCAATCAACCAGTGACTGTGTCTTTGGCCAGTCCTGGACTCTGCCTGGCTTCTGGACACATCTACGCTTTACAGAGTGCCTGAAAGTGGAAAAACCAACCTTTAGCGAAGATGTTCCTCCTGTACTCAAAACAGAGAAGTGATTATTTTCACCACCTTGCGTAACGTGACAGGGAGTCATGACCAATCATGTCACATTTAAAAAATATACACACATGATATATAGTATGAGGTTGTATGTTTGGTGTGTGCACATGCCGGCAGGTCCTCTAAATACAAGACATTTTGTTCACATCCACACAAATGATATCAAACTGCCCTGCAAGCTCTTCTTGTTTTTAGTGATTTCAGTACTCTTTTTCCAACTAGCAATCTAATGAACTGGTTATTTGGCTGGGAGATTCATAATTTATTTATTTATTTATTTATATTTACATTTATACCTCGCCCACCCTGTAAACAGGCTCTGGACGGCTTACAGGAGACGGCCGACAGGCCGACACAAATAAAACAATAAAAATATTAAAATCCCTTAAAAAACAATAAAGTGCTCGCTACAGCAGAGTAACCTTAAGATGAATGGCATTGTATCTGCATTCCTTCTGTCTTCAGATCTTAAAATCAGGCCCACGGTCCAGATGTTCGCCGGTTGATGCTAAACGTGTGTGATCTTTTTTACATAATAGTTGGCACAAATATACCTTGCATTTTCTATTGACTGTAACATATAGTCATTTACTTTTGGACTGTCTTCCACTTCAGAAAGGTCTGGCTTCATAGTAAGACCAGTTGCTGGATATTTGTCACCACGAGACTTCTTAGCAGGCCTTGCCTATAGAGTTTTCCACTGTACCCAATATATACGTCATGGATCAGATCCCCTCTACACACCAGAACCGTGAGTATCACTTGATCTAATTTAATTTTCTTGTAAAAGAGCAGCCCAATAAATGTTGTCAACAGCACACTCTAGAGTAATTTTCATTAAAATCTATGGAACTATGTTTTTACTGGAACCCAGGTGAATTTTTCACCTTTCAGTTCTGGAAAAAATGTTGGTCTGTCTTAATTGTTTTTCCTGGAAAGCATGAATTCCACATAGCTGTGTCCTGTTAGAGTCCAGTGGTGACTTTGCTGGTCTTAAAGGTGCCACTGGACCCAGACTTGTTCTGCTGCTTCAGACTAACATGAATCTGTGTCAGGTTAGTTCTTTTTTTCTCATTAGATGTTGCTAGATATTGTTAGCTTCAAATACATCTGTTTGTTAGTGGGAAGTTTTACTAGCAGTTACATCTCTGTGACGTGGGTAATCCCTGTATTAGTTCTTCCATAGGTACTCATTGTTCTGAATGTACATGAGATATAATTTCAGGTTTGCCTAATATTGTTGTGTTCCTATGGAAGACTTCCATGTGTGAGATGTGCCTTTTTGTAAAAATGACAAAGGGGGTTTTCAGGCTGCAGTCGCTTTTTGTGTTTTTGCATATGTTGTGCCACTTTTGATGATCATGCTATTGGGATCAGTTCAGACTTCCCCTCGTGGGTTCCCTCTGCTCTGGGTTGTTGGGGTTTTTTTCTGCAGGGTTTTTTATTTTTTTGCACAGGCACTGAAGCATTTGAGCCTTTCAGCAGCCTCATTTGCTCCATTTCCCTTACATGAGAGTAGCCACATTTACTCTTGTGTAAAGCACAGTAGGCTCTCAAACAGCAACTCTGAAACTAAAAGATAATTTATTTGCTCAGTCACTTGGCCCCTGACATTTTAAAATTGAAAACAAGAAGGGTTTTCACAACTGGGAAGAAATGTACGAAGGGTGAAGTCTGGTAGATTTTATATAGGAGTAGCACCACTGGCTTTGATAGTATATCTTCTCCCATGTAAAGCAAGAGGGGGACATGATCATGGCTTTCTCAGACTGAAAAGAGAGGCAGAGTGAGGAGACCAGACCAACCAGACCAACCAGACACACATGCTCACAAGGCAGAGCAAAGAGGAATGTGAGGAAAGTGAGGATGTCTGCTTGTTCAACACAGGCCCCGGTCAAACGGGAGGTTTTGCCCTGCAAGAGGGACGGATTGGGGGCGCAGCAAACGGACGCGATGACACCACAACATCTGGGAAGTGGCACGCACCCGTCCCCGATCCGTCCCTTCAGCCTGAAAATGCGCATAAAAAACCAACAACCTAGGAAAGAGTACTACCAACCTGAAACGCTGCAGCAAGCGGGGCTGTGGAATCGCCGGCCCACCCATCTTCAGCAGCATTTGAGGCGCCCGGCTAAACTGCGCATGCGCACACATGTGCAGCCGGCTGCCTCGCTCTCCCTTCCATGGCACCCCCCCTGGCATCTGATTGTGCCGGGGAGCAACTGCGGCTCAGGGGATCTGTCTGATCCCGCCACCACGCGTCTCTTTTGGTGCGGCTCTAAAAAGCCACACTTTGGCTGTGCCAATTTCCCCAGTGTGACCGGGGCCACAGTCACCTTCCATACCAATCAGAAATCTACAAAGAAAAACTGAAGCAAAGCATAAGTGTTAACATAAATGATGCAAAATCACATAGTAGGATCCTACTTACAGCACACTATTGGCTATTCTGTTGGCTACACAGAAAATCTCTCTTGAATAATTCAGTTTCGCATAGTTTGCAGAAGGCCAGGAATGTGGGCACCTTCCTGACCTCCTCACGCAGACCATTCCACAAGTTGGGGGACACAACAGAGAAGGCACATATATGGGCAGTTGCTGATTTTGCCCATTTGCAGGTTGGGGCCTGCAGAATGCCCTGCTCAGATTAACGAAACTGTTGGGTTGGAGCATGGGAGGAGAGACAGTCTCATAGATATGAGTGTCCATGGCCATGAAGGGCTTTGTATGTGATGGCCAATACTTTGAATTGAGCCCGGTAACTGATGGGCAGCTAACAGAGTGACTGCAGAATGGGAGTAATAGGCATGCTCCATCTAGCTCTGGAAAGTAGCTGAGTTGTGGCATTCTGCACTAAATGGAGTTTCTGAACTGATTTTGAGGGGAGACCATTGTACGGCGCATTATAGTGGTCTAGTGTAAATGTCCAAGTGGCACGGATCCAGGTGGCCAGGTCATTCATATAAAGGTAAGGGGCCATTTTTCGAGCTAGGCTGAGTTGGTAGAAAGCCTTTTTTTGCAATTGCATTAACTTGCTTTTCCAGCAATAATGTTGGGTCCAGTATATCCCAAGGCAGGCTCTTAACTGAGTTAGCGATGGTCAACTGAATTCCATCAAAAGTAGACAGTACAATATCCTTCAAGATCTCTGCCTTCCCAACCAGCATTACCATTATCTTTTCAGGGTTTAGTTTCAATTTCTTAGCCATTTAAACACAGCAGCCAGGCAGCAATTTAGGACCTCTACTGCATCACTAGAAGATTTGGATAAGGTTATATATATAGATGTGTGTATCGTCTGCATATTGATGACAGCCAAGCCCAAAACTACAACTGATTCGGCCTCAGGGCTTTACATAAAGATTGAAGATCATGGGGAATAGGATTGCACCCTGTGGGATCTACCAGATAGGTCCCACACTGATGATAACTGATCTTCAATGGCAATTCTTTCCATCTCGTCCCTGAGGAATGATTTAAAACTGTCCTATGCACAACCTCTGATGCCTACTTCTGCCTCCAGGTAACTTAACAGGATGGCATGGTCCAATGTGTCAAGGAAAGCAGATAAACCTAGTAGGAGCAACAAGGAGGCCTGACTTTTGTCTACCCTCAGATGAAGGTAATCAACAGCTGAGCGGTGGGGAGGTCCCTGCCGCTCAGCTGTTTTTGTGAAGAGCAGAGAGTGCCGCTCAGCTGTTTTTCAGGAAGAGCAAAGAGTAGGGGTTTAAATGGCTCAGAGCCATTTAACCCTCAGTTTTATGCTCTTCAAAAACCTTCATGAACCACCACAAACTGCATCAAAATTCATGGAAGTTCATGGCAGCTCTTCAATTTGTGAACATTGCTTTGTGAGCCACAAACTGGACAAAATTTTTGACAAACTAGTTCATGAGCTGGTTTGTGCCCACCCCTAACTGCAACCTCAACACAGCACATGTTTGGAATATCCCTAGAGTGCGTAGGGAGGTCCTTAATCTTAGATATTGGAATTCTGAGAAAGGTTAGTGAGCATTAACACAAAAAGGTTGCCACTGGAGGCTTAAAAAATCACAAAATGGCCGTCATGATGGTAAATGTCAAAATACTGGGAGGGTTCAAGCCAGCCATCTTCTTATGATGGGGCCAGCTATTTCAAAATGAGAACTCTCTGCAGTCCCAAAGATGATGTTCCCTGGATTCTCGGGAGCAACTATTGCTCCAGTGAGGAGAATGAAACCCAGGATTAGCACTTGGCTTTGGAATTAGGTGATTTTGAAAAGAAGAAAATGGAACCAGACCAGCACTTCATACACACAGACACACACACAGACACACACACACAGAGTCTGCCTTTCTCACTGGGACTCAGTGTCACGACAGGGCCAGTGGGGCAAGGCAGAGAGGGAGAGTTTACAGTCCAGTCCAAGAGTCAAGCCAGAGAGATCAAAAGAGTCCGAGCAAAAGTCCCAATCACACAAAGCCAAGCCGTAGTCAAACGTTACCGATAGTCAGATTCCAAACAAGCCAGTATCATAGTCAGGAAGTGTAGCCGAGGATCAAGAACCAGAGGGGTCGTCAAAACGTGGACTGGTGTCAGGAACCAGGTAATCAGTCAGGAGCCAAACAGAGTTAGAGGTGCAGAGCTTCTGGTCCAACGGACAAGTTTGCCAACACAGTTTGCTAGCAGCCAGCAGTCTGTTCAAATAGCGTGCTGGGTCGTTATCTCATTAGCACGGCTTCGCGAAGTCCTTGATTCTGTTAGTAATCTGGGCTTAATGATCACCAACCGCGCAAACGTGCCTCCTTGCGCCTGGTTGCCAAATCCTGGCGTCTCTGATTCCTCAGCCGGTCAACAGGTGATGGAGAATCGGGTGGCGTGTTGCTGGGGCCAGGCATTGCCTGATCGGCTTCAGGTGCAAACTGTCCTGGGGTTTGGTGTTCATCCTCCCCGGCACTTAGGTTTGGTGAGGACCCTCGTGCTTCTGATGATGTTAAAGGCACGGTGTCCTCAGTTTCAGAGCTCCCAGGCGCCGGGTCGGGTACAGGCATGACACTCAGCGGTCAGGTTAGAACAGATAAAAGGAAGTACTTCTTCACCCAAAGAGTGATTAACACATGGAATTCACTGCCACAGGAGGAGGTGGTGGCTACAAGCATGGATGGCTTCAAGAGGGAATTAGATAAGCATATGGAGCAGAGGTCCATCGGTGGCTAGATAGGGACTCCGGGGCAAGTGATGCTCTGTATTCTTGGTGCTTGCGGGGGGGGCAATAGTTTGAGGGCTCCTAGTGTCCTGGCTCCACTGCTGGACCTCCTGATGGCATGTGGTATTTTTGGCCACTGTGTGACAGAGTGTTGGACTGGATGGGCCTTTGGCCTGATCCAACATTGGCATCTCTTATGTTCTTAAGATCACTGTGTTGGAGTGAGTGACTCAGTATTCCTGGACATGGCGGGGTGGGGGCTACATCACTCTAAGGGTGTATAGATGTTATCTCCTTGAATAGGATGCCTCTCTTTGTCTTAACCTGGGCGCTGCCCTCTGACCCCTCCTCTCTCACTTGCTTTTCCTTCTGACTCCCTCAACATGGCCTTCCATGGAGACATGTGTCTCTGCAGGTCTCTCCTGTAGAGACAATGCCCTCATACTCCCACACATGTGATGCAGGACAATCTGGCCATTTGTGATAGGGAAAGTACCCTCCAGATTAGGCTTCTTTCTCTTCTTTTGACTGTACCCTGAATGTGAACTGGATCTACTTGAATAAA